AAGTGATCCCGTTCATTTGAAAAATATTTCCTGTATAAGTTAAGTGTTTAGTAACCTTGTTAAGTTTGTATTTCATTTGTATAAGGGGGTAACAATGCTGATTACATATGCAGACTGTATTTTTATTCCTAATAGTGCTGCACAATGATTGTGCCTTGTGGAAAGTTTGATTTGCAATATGCATTATGTTATTTATAATTGTATTATATCCACTCTGTCTACCCATAAATACAATTGCATACTATTATGTTTCTTTAATTTTCATACTTGTAATATTCAAGATATATTTTGAAAGTTTAAGTTAAAAGGAGAACTATGAGGTGAGTGAATTTTACTCAACCTCATAGTTCGAGCCGACGTGTGACAATGAAACTGTCACACGTCAGCTCAATAGATCGGAAAATGAGCGAACACATACCATCGCTCGCTCACTTCTCGATCATATATAAATATCTGTAATAAATAAATAATAAAAAAAAAATGTTCCTGCAGAGAGCCGTGACTGTCACTCACGGCTCCCTGCTGGGATTCCCCCCTCCCAGCTCCGATCCTCCAGCGCTGACTGGCAGAACGGACGGGGAAGGGGGTGGGTACAGCTGGCTCTGCCTCTAGATAGGCAGAGCCAGCTGTCAATCACGCAGCTGGGTGGATCTCAACAGTAATGTCGGGATCCATCCCGGCTGCGGCGGTCTCAGTATACTGCGAGCTGTAGCTTGCGATATACTGAGCTTTGGGTCACGGGAGGACGCTAGTTTATGTCCTCCCATGACCCTTAGGAGAACTATGGGGAAAAACACTTACCCCATAGTTCTCTTTTAAGACACTGTTCACATCACTTAAATTCTGTTGCTGAATAATGCAACACAACAGGTGTCCCTGCCCGGCTCTGTTTATCTTATCTCTTGTTCTTGGTCACTAGCTATGAAGACTTATAATGAGCTTGTAAGGAGTTACCATTTGAGATGATAATGCTTATCCATTCCTCCATCATCAGTTTATTAAGACCCTGTAGGCTCAATTCACTAAGCTAAAATACCAAGATAAAGAAAACATGACAGTTATTTTTAGTCTAGTCCAATGAGATTTGAAAATAACAGTCACATGACTGAAAATAAAGAAACTTATCCTTGTTTAAAGCTTTGTGAATTGAGCCTCATGCCTGTAAGGTTGTTATAAACAATAGAGCCAGAACATCTTTCCATCCTGTACCAACACAGATGTTGTCAATCTTTATCTTAATCAGATATATATTTTGTTTTGAGGAGCCATTAAGCCTTGTTATTGGTTAACACGCGTGTCAATTTGTTGATAAGACTTTGATATAAGTGATTCTACACCCTATACATCTGTGCTTCTATAATGAAGAATGCTCTGAAATAACAAAAGTATTTTGATTCATATGATCTAAGATATTTGTTAATTGGATCTTCTCGCCTCACAAATTTATATAAAAGGTCTGTCTAATACAAGGAAGATGCGAGGGCACAACAAGAAGTTGGAGGGGATGAGGTATAAATGTAAGCTGCGTTATGGGTTTTTTCTTTGAGAGTGGTAAAAATATGGAATTCACTTCCACAGATAGTTGTATCAGCGGGTGCTCCAAAAAAACATTAGGATGAGTTCCTCAGTTCACAAAGCATACAGGGTTATTGAAATTCCGAACATTATACACACACACATCATACAGGTTGAATCGGATAAACCTGTGTCTCTATTCAACCTCACCTACTATGTAACTATGAGACTCTGCCTTGATTTCTGACTTTTATCACACTTGTCTCTCTGTATACTGGCTATAGAAATATAGATTGCTGAAGATACTTATCTTCTCTCTTATTTGAATATTTATTTGTCAAGTCTACTGGTCATGTCTGACTGACTGAATACAATAGACTTTGCATGCAAGGTTTCTTTTAAACACAGTTTTTGGCAGCTGTAGCAGAACTTTGATAGCATTTAACAGAAAAATCTACACTAAGATCCGGATTTAAACTTTAAAAATTAATTAAAGTACCCCAACTATTAACAACAATGTATCTTATTTGTATATCACTCAACTGTAGATCCTCAAATCATCTCTGAATTGTTGCTGACACTGTCCTTCCTTCTGGAGGGAGGCTACTTTTGTTCCCCATGGTCCCTGTGTGTGTTGCAAAGTAGCCACCGCTCCAAGCTCACTCCTGTGATGGACTACAATCTCCATACAAATTAGTAAACTAAATATGACATGGTAGTCCATCACAGGAGCGAGCTTGGAGCAGTGGCTACTTTACAACACGCACAGGGACCATGGGGAACAAAAGTAGCCACCCTCCAGAAGGAATGACAGTGTCAGCACTAATTCAGCCTACAGCTGAATGATACACTAATTAGATACATTTTTGTTAATAGTTAAGGCTTTAACTCCTGAGTTTAGTGTCTCTTTAAAGGTGAACTCCAAGGAGCTGACAAGGATACTCTTGAAGTCAACCCCTTCTTCCCCCAGGGGCTGCAAGGGTCAAAGGCTTGTTTTGCCTACAGTACCAAGGAAAAGCACTTTTCACTTACTTATCCCTCGCGCCTGCAGGTTTCTCATCTCATGGGACTAGTCCCCCGAAGCCTCCTCTCTTCGATACTCCTGCTGTGACATCCTGCTGAATCAGCCTATATGTGAGCAGTGGGTGGCCCTGTCATAACCTCCTGGCTTGACAAAAGTCAATTTGAAAATCGACTGATGGCGGAAAATTCTTGGCTCAACAATGACTGTATTCTGTCGGATGCAATCACAGTTTGGGTAGTCAGGAAGCTGCCATTGTTGCGGCTGCCTGAATACAACAGCCGGCAGTGGAGATTCCTAACAGCGTGGAGGGGGGAATTTATTGATTTTCTCTCATTCAGTCCATGGGCTGAACAAGAGAAAATCAAGACATGTATGGCCACCTTAACTACAACAAGAAAAGCTGGAATCAGGTGAGAAACAAAGAAGGGGCATGACCTTAACTGGTATAAAGGAGTATCCTAATCAGATGAAGCAGAACCAAGCTAAGAAATCTTCTTAGCACATATTAGCAATTAAAGCATTGTCCTAAGTAATTGCTTCTATTTAAAGCTCAATGGTGCTACTGGTGCTACACACAAGATCTGTGTAATTGTGTCAAAGGGGATCTACCTTCTTTAAAGCAAACTGTAGATGTGTGCTAGGACAGTGATGGATGTGTAGTGGGTGCAAAGCATTAAAGGGGCTGCAAACGCTTTTGAAGAAGAAATAGTATCCAAAGAAGGGATGCTACACAACCAAATGGTAAACACACACAATTATTATTATAATAGGTATTTATATAGCAGTACTTTACTTATTGTACATTCACATCAGTCCCTGCCCTCAAGGAGCACAGTCTAAGGTCCCTACTTCATATGTGTACATAGACATTCTAGGGCCGATTTAGAGGCAATAATTCTACTAGCATGTCTCTGGAGTGAGGGAGGAAATCCACACAAGCACAGGGAGAACAGCACGTTGTTTCCTGGTTGGGAATCAAACCAAGGACACTAGTACAAAAAGGCAAGAGTGCTAATGCTAACCACTAAGCTACTGTGCTATACCTTGGATTTATTTTATGCTGCAGTGCAAATAAAGGTACATGGGTAAGTATGGTGAACAGCCCACACATTGGGGTGAGAGGGTATGTTATAAGGTGTTGGTTGAACATATGTATGATGTGCCCCTGAGTGTTGGAACTCAGGTGATAATTGTCTGTTCTCTACTGTTTGTTTTATATGAAACTTAATAAAAACAATTTAAAAAAAAAGTATGGTGAACAGTTTCAGATGTCCCCACCAATTATCAGGTTCAAGAGCAGGGATGCTTGAAACTGTTGTCTGGTGTACTTACCTAAGTACTTTTGTTTGCACTGCAGCAGAAAATAAAACCATTGTGTGGATTGGTCATTTGGTTGTGCAGCATCGGCTATTACCTTGGACACTATAGAGTCCTTTCATGAAGATTTGGAAATTGTAATAACTCTTTGATTGCATCAAATTCATGACTAAAGTATGTAAAATAGGCATTTTCCAAGCGTTTATTTTCTTGAAGCCGGGGGACCATTTCCAGCAACTTTGCCTCTCAACTTTACTACAGCTAGTTTAATCTGCAAAGGCTCAGACTATCCTCATATTTGTCACAAATCATTTTTAAACCTTTTAATCAACAACAAATTGGGCAATATGTTGTTTTTTTTAGTAAAGTACAGAACTGTTGTATCTAGGCATTTTTTTTATGCTCGGTCTTAGCTATATCCTTTTTGAACCAAATAACACATAATCTGAGCAATGTAACTGCAGGGTCATCTTACTGTAAGGGCTTGTTCAAACCATAACACACATTATAATGCACTCCATGACATGCGTTATAATGTGCTTTACACGTAGCACTGTAATGCACTTTAGATATGGCGTGCCATTCAGAGTTAATTGCACCCTAATGCACTTCTACACTGAAACACACCTGCGATAGAGTGCACCTCAACACACAGAAGCATATGTTTTGTGTATTGCAGTGCACTGGAAAAACAATGCAGGACCTATTTTGTTGTGTGTCGAGATGTGTTGAAAACCCATTTAAAATGCACGGCCTACCTAATGCAATGTTCCTCAATGTACAAAAACTCTATTGTAAATAGCAGCACCATAAAATGATAGTGAAGGGCTATTAACATCTACCACATGTGAATGTCGATTTATATCACTATAGGCAATTTTTGAAACTCACATGCTCATGTGAAAAAAGCAGTCGTAATACCAATTAAGCGCACAACGTTGTATTTTTGTTAGTAGTGTCCTTTTAACCATCCCTGACCAAAACAAAACATGGCATGCTTGCATCAACAAGGAAACTATTGCTTCATTACTACCATTTTGTCTTGATTTGTATTGTGATTGTAATGCCTCCCTTGTATTGTAAAGCGCTGCACAAACTGTTGGCGCTATATAAATCCTGTATAATAATAATAATAATTACAAACCTGCCAATAATATGTTCCAGGACTTTCATCTGATTCTGGTCTTCTTGGTTTTGTCTCAGCATGTCCTGCTGTTCCTCTGGACTCATCGTATTTATTCCATCCAGCAGCCATTTTTCCCGCATCGTTTTTTTCTAGAAATTGAATGAAAAACACATTTTTCTATGTATTATAATAACTATATGTGAAGTAGATACAACAAAAAGTTGTTTCAGAGTTTCTCTGGCTCTAAAACCTATATTAAACATCTTTTTTTTTCCTTTGGGCCATTAGGGTAGGCAAAGAGTTATGTACATATCAGGCATGTAGGCGGCTGCTCTGCTGACTCAGCCAGTGCTGCACAGTAGCCCACTGTTTGTGCCCACCATTGCACAGCAACTATAAATTAATTCAAATTTTACAAGTGACTTTTTACTTAAAAACAACCAGGGCAACCCTTGTGTTGTCATGGAGAGCTTTGTTAGACTTTATTTAGCTTTGTGAAGGTCAGATAAAAGCTGAAATGCTAGAAATGTAAAACAATATATAATACAGTTTTATATTTCTTTTAGAAATCATTGGATCTATTTGGAAATGTAGTTAGTGTAATTAGCTGAATTTGTCATACTAGTCTCCTGTAATCCCTTGTGCAGCACCACTGAGACTGGGAGGGGGAGGTCCAGCACTAGCATTCAATCAGGTTCTGTTGTAGTACATATGTGCTAACAGCAAGAAAAAGCAGAGTGAGCAGAGGAATTACCTGATCAATGTTCTTTTACTCCTTCAATGGCTAATGGGCAGGCTTGGAACGTATTCCTGACCAAGCTCTGCTGCTATTGTTGCTGCAGTGGAGTTTCAAGAGTTGTCTATGTTGTCTGACTTCATCTTAAAAGAGAAGTAAAGCTAAACCATTATTTTGGCTTTGATAAAGATAATTAAATTGAACTGTGCTAATAAATATCTAAGAATAATTTGTGTTCTTATCTTTTAGAGAGATTTATTAGCGCAGTACACTTTAATTATCTTTATCTTGCCAGTGTCTCTCCCCATAGCGCGGAATTATAATCTCAATTATTTTGGCTTTACTTCCCTTTTGAGTCATGGGAGTTCATTTATTAGACGTAGACTGCCTAGGTTTTAGGACACATGAGGGAGATCAGGAGTACCTATAATTTTGTATCAGGAATGGATCATATTTAACTCAATGGCCTTTGAGAAGCTAAAGGTGGGAGAATTTCCTACCAAACAGAAAAAAAATCAAAATGGCCATCCTAAGTATAATAATTGTTTTGGGCAAGCGTTGGTCCTAAGACTGCTAAGGGACAATCTGGCTGGTAGATATGCTGGGAGCTTTATTTTATAACTGCATTATGGCAAAACCATGCTTTAAATCAAATGCTTTGGCTAGAAATTTCAAAAGTAATACAGTGTAAATGACAGGTAACGATACAGTCCTGTGTCTTAATGTAGTGCAGTTAATGTAGCATTTAGGATGAATAGTGTGTCAGGTTTTTGCTGCTATCTATATAGATTTCCTTCACTTCCTGTCCCAGTGATGGTTGTCATGAGGCAGGAAGTAAAGGGAAATCAATCCAGTAGGGACACATATAACAATAACACTTTTATTAGTGTTAGGGTAGGGTTAGAGCCACTGTGTCCCCCATGGAGAGCTCACCCTTACTTCCAGACAGTGGTTATCAAGATAGGAAGTGAAGGAAAATCTCCCCAGTGGAGATTCAGACAGAAATTAACACTTTAACTGGGAATTTTTCACGTCAAATTTGATGGAAAGGGCAATGTGCAATCTTTTAACAACTTAAGCTGGCCACAGAACTCTCATATAACTTTTGGATATGCAGGCATGTTCTGACTTTTAGTTAATAGTATTATTTGACACAACGTTGACATAAATATGAACACTTAGGTTGCTAAGCATTCATATTTATATGTGTGGAAGAGGGAGGAGCAAAGAGAAGGTAGAAGGGAGGAGTCAGAGGAGTAAGTAATAAGGTTTCCAAACTTGCCCAAAAAATAATTTCACCAGACAAAGGTTGGACAGTGGTATGTGCTTGTTCCAAGAGATGGTATTGCCACCCATTGGGGTAAAAACGGACAAATCAGGCAACATTTATTTGCTTAATGGCCACCTTAATAAAAATTCATCTTTGTTGGAAAGCTGCAGCAGATATGACTCTTACCAGTCAAGATTGGGATTGACACATGGCTAAGCCTTATTGGTGGAAAACAATAGGGACACAGAGATAGGAAATTACATCACAGCAGGGACGTGTGGTCAGGGGAGGCAGGTGAGGCAGAGCTTTACCTAGAATTATGGAGGAAAAAGCTGTCAGCTTCAGGTCTGAAGCTGACAGCATCTTCTCCATTCAGATCAGCATCTAACAGGTTACACAGCAGGGAAATACTCCCCGCTGTGTAACCTGTCATGGACAGAGCGCCTCGGCAGTGAGGACCAAGTGAGGGACAGGGAGGCTCCTTCCTGTCTCCTCCCTTCCTCCTTTACACTAGCTTGGGGGTTCGGGACGCGGCTTCGTCAGGCGGGGCGGAGCTTCGGCCAGTGGGGGCAGAGCTTCGGTCGACAGGGGATGAGGCTTCCCCCGGCAGGGGGCTGGGGAATGCCTCACCTGGAGCAAGAGGTACCGCACGTCACTGCATCACAGCTATGTAATTCCACTAAGGAGAACATTATACAAGCATTTCAACTGACTCTACCACCATGTGGCAGAACCACAAATAACAGCATAATATATAAGAAGGTGGTTATTATTATACAGGATTTTTTATAGCGCCAACAGTTTGCGCAGCGCTTTACAATATATAGAAGACACTACAATCACAATTGCACCTGTAAAGGAGTGGAGGTCCCTTGTATTTAGTAGCCCACCCAAGGTTTACAAAGGGTCCCTTTCTGTCCCTCAACCTAGCTTAAACAGGGGTATAAAATCAGACTGTGGGAGGGGTAAGGGGGAGTCATCGAGACCAGAGAAGAGAGATCTGTTTTTGTGGAAGGATGAATACCTTTTAGACCGTAAGTCATCTTAGACTTAAAAGGGAAAGAGGAAAAACTGAGTCATTCCTTTTCCTGCCAGTAGTATGTACTAGAGACTGTGAGTAAGTGGGTGCTGTAAGTCTCCTCCTAGTGCTAATGTGAAACCTCTCGTAGAATACAGACTAAGTGGCGAAAGTTTGGTTCTGTGTTATGGATATCATTGTGCTCTGCACTGTAAAGATGTCATATCATTTATCTGAGAATGTACATTATTTGCAAATCACTAGTAAAAGTTTTTTATGCAAACGAGTATGCTGGACTGGTCTATTTCTTGTAGAAGATAATAGTGTTGCCAATACCTGGTGAGCAGAGACATTAAAACCAGTTCTGGTCAAGAACTGGGTAGTGGCCTAGTAGAGGAGGGTCAACCTGCTTGGTGGCAGCAAGGATGCTCTGTTGTTTCATGTGCCGTGCAACCTGAAGGAACCCCATGTACCGTGGGCTTCCAGGGTTTAGAGGGACCCCATGTGTACTCTGCCTGGAACTACAGTACATAGGAGGGGCCCTACACAGAGTTTGTAATTGTGTAGGTTCTCACAAAGTATGTGGCTGAGAATCATGGGGAAAATTAGAAAGAGAAGTGAACCGGTGTGTTGGCTGCTGAAGTTTCAGACCTGAAACCACTAAAACAGTATAAAAGGCCCCAATGCAGGAACTGCTTAAACAGCCTGCCACAAGGAGTGCTTCACACCTACACTACATTGCCAAAAGTATTGGGGCACACACATGACACGCACATGAACTGTAATGGCATCCCAGTCTTAGTCCGTAGGGTTCAATATTGAGTTGGCCCGCCCTTTGCAGCTACAACAGCTTCAACTCTTCTGGGAAGGCGTCCACAAGGTTTAGGAGTGTGTCTATGGGAATGTTTGACCATTCTTCCAGAAGCGCATTTGTAAGGTCAGGTACTGATGTTGGACGAGAAGGCCTGGCTCGTAGTCTCCGCTCTAATTTATCCCAAAGGGATTCTATCGGGTTGAGGTCAGGACTCTGTGCAGGCCAGTCAAGTTCCTCCACCCCAAACGCGCTCATCCATGTCTTTACGGACCTTGCTTTGTGAACTGGTGCGTAGTCATGTTGAAACAGGAAGGGGCCATCCCCAAACTGTTCCCACAGAGTTGTGAGCATGAAATTGTCCAAAATGTGTTTTGTATGTTGATGCCTTAAGAGATCCCTTCACTGGAACTAAGGGGCCAAGCCAAACCACTGAAAAACAACCCCACACCATAATCCCCCCTCCACCAAACTTTACACTTGGCACAATGCTGTCAGGCAAGTACCATTCTCCTGGCAACCGCCAAACCTAGACATGTCATTCGGATTGCCAGACAGAGTGTGATTCATCACTCCAGGGAACACATCTCCGCTTCTCTAGAGTTCAGTGGCGGCGTGCTTTACACTACCGCATCTGACGCTTTGCATTACACTTGGTGATGTAAGGCTTGGATGCAGCAGCTCGGCCATGGAAACCCATTTCATGAAGCTCTCTATGCATTGTTGTTGTGCCAATCTGAAAGCCACACGAAGTTTTGAGGTCTGTTGACAGTTGGTGACTTCTGTGCACTGTGCGCTTCAGCATGCACTGACCCCGCTGTCATTTTATGTGGCCTACCACTTCGTGGCTGAATTGCTGTTGTTCCCAGTTGCTTCCACTTTGTTATAATACCACTAACAGCTGACCGTGGAATATTTAGTAGCAAGGAAATTTCCCGGATGGACTTATTGCACAGTTGGCAACCTATCACGGTACCACGCTTGAATTCACTGAGCTCCTGAGAGTGACCAATTCTTTCACAAATGTTTGTAGAAGCAGTCTGCATGCCTAGGTGCTTGATTTTATACACCTGTGGCCATTGAGGTGATTGGAACCCCTGAATCCAATAATTTGGAGGGGTGTCCCAATACTTTTAGCAATATAGTGTATATCTGTATAAACAGCATGCTAACAATTTTTCTCTAAACTGATTTTAGCAACTGAAATCTGATTGGCTGCTAAATGTTAGTGTTTTGTTTTCTGTCTTATAAAAGGTACTGGGCTGCTGTAATTCCAGTCTAGAAAGAACATTGTTTAAAGGAATTTCAACACATTTTGTTTACCAAATGCACGTGTTTCAGAGCAAACATATTTCTGCACAATGGATGTCTTTCTGTGCCCGCTCTGTATTTATTTTTCAGCTGAGTGTATGGCATGCACTCCATTGTTCCCAGTGCTCTACTGAAGGAACTAAATCAATTCTATCTGCTGTGGTATGTGTAGTTATATAATTCTGTGAAGGCTTCACATTGTGGTAATCTACCTTTGTGAAAGAATTTTGAACCTTGAAAGCAGCATGTGAAACTGTGTGCTGACACTGACCAGATACCTCTGATTGCAACAAAAATCCAGTATCTGTAAACCGCTGGGAAATTTCATTTCCAGTGATATGTCATAGTAATGATAATATTTAACGGCAAGTGCTTATATCATCGCTAACAGTGACAAGCCATCAAGAACAAAGAAGAGAAACAAAAGTAAAAGGGGTAGAAAGAGAATTAAAAATTATAGATCAATTGACTAAGTACTGAGCCTTGCACTATAAGTTTAGGTGGCCATACCCGAGAGCAGGCTACTAAAACCAACTTTTTACCATACCTGATCCTTGAAGTGATATTAAAATCCAAAGGCTTTTAAGCTATTTCAAATGCTGATTAAATAATTTATAATAGGATGCTGCTTTCTGAAGTCTAAATGTTTTAGCTTACTGCAGAATCAGCTGGTCCCCTGAGCGCTGTCTCTGATATCCTGTTTTAGGGTGGCTTCTTTCCCTTGCAGGGTCTTATGAAGACACCCTTGTGTGTGCTAGTAAGCTGTGTGTGTCTCCAAACACACACACCACACACACACAGGCACGGCAAGGCAATCCATTCCCTTTTCCTCCCTTCTCCAGGCTAGGTAGATGGACAGCTGCTGGGACTGTGGTGTCCCTTGTGAACTTGTACTCAACAGAAAGTTCAGGGAAGCCAAGCAGAGAGAGTTGGAGCCAGCTGTTTGGAAACATGACTGTAACTGCCTGGGCAAAAATTGAAAGAAATACTTTGCTAGGCCAATGTACACTCTTCGGCCACTTTATTAGGTACACCTGTTCAATTGCTTGGCAACACAAAATGCTAATCAGCCAATCACATGGCAGCAACTCAATGCATTTAGGCATCTAGACGTGGTGAAGACGACTTGCTGAAGTTCAAACCTAGCATCAGAATGAGGAAGAAAGGGGATTTAAGTGACTTAGAACGTGACGTGGTTGTTGGTGCCAGACGGGCTAGTCTGAGTAGTTCAAAAACTGCTGATCTACAGGGATTTTCACACACAACCATCTCTAGGGTTTACAGAGAATGGTCCAAAAAAGAGAAAGTATCCAGTGAGTGGCAGTCGTGTGGGCGAAAATGCTTTGTTGATGTCAGAGGAGAATGGGCAGACTGGTTTGAGATTATAGAAAGGCAAATTATAATATTTATACACAAAAGCAAATAAAATCACATAACACAATATTTATGAATAAAAGCAGATAAAACCTTATAAGAAAATGGTACAAATAAGCCATTTCTGGAGCTAATAAGAAACTATTTTCAAACATTGATATATTGTAATAAACTTTACCTTTAAATGATGTAGTTTTAACTTTCCTTCTTCGATTTGAAGGCGTCTTTGTGCAATTTCTTCTTGCAACTTCCTCTTATCCTGAAATAAAAACATACACATTAAAGAATGGATAATTTGCGGAAGATCCTGGGTTAGAGATGGTCATAAAAGGCCCAATACTACTCTTGATATAATGGCCCAATGTTGCCCAGGTAAGGACAGGCAATTTAAGGATAGTCTAGGGAGCAATAGTGAGAACATCACATATTGGAAATTTCCATTTTTGCAATAGAGATTACCTGACTAGTTGGAAAAGCTCCATGCAACAAAGCTAAACGTTCTCAATGAGAAAAGGGAAGAAAAGGGTTCAGCATACATGCACCATTTCTGACACTGTAATAATGGCATAAATGACAACAAGTCATAATCCTACACAAGACAGGCATATCTCCCCGGCATATCTCCCCACCATTCTCTTTGAGTTGTCTACCCTCCTCTGGCCGGCCATGCTTCACAGGGTCTACAAAGATAAACCCATAAGCATGTCTAACTGATTCTTATAAACAGGTGTTCACAAAAAACACAGTGCTTACTCTAAATCATTGATCTTATCAAATGTTTATCCCTGCATAACCATATACTGTATATCATGCAACAAATGTATTGTATAATCACAACATAGCAATAAATATGTTCATCAAATAGTGTCTATTCAAATAAATCACCAGCACAAACATGTATTTATGGTTGAACCATATTTATTAGGACCCCCAGCCATCCAGCAGAGTACTTATCACCTGCAGAAATGAATGGGTGCGCATGTGCAGTAAGAAGAAGACCCAATGGTGATGTTTTTGCTGAAAAGACTATGCAGCACTGAGCTGAGGCACTCACTAAAGATTGCTTGAACAAAGAGGAAGGAAGGTATTTGACAAGGTAGGCTGCACTCATGCATGCCCCAAATAAATAACTAGCAACCTAGGTCATATGTTCTTTACAATACAGAATGTATGGTTTGAAGCAGAGATCAAATAAAATGAACAGAAAGGCTGCCCCATAAACAGCTACACACTATACAGAGAAAAACATTTTAGCTTACATGGGGGGACTTCCGGGGCATGGTGAGGGGGGTGTCCCCCGGATATGTAGACTTATTTACCACCAAAATCTCAGAAAAGAGTATTTATTTATGTGTTTATTTTGTTCTGAGTATTTGTATGGCATATTTATGTCTCAAAATGTAAAGAAATAATTATAATTTTGCGATGTAAATATTATAGGCTACCTCCTATCTTCATGAAGAAGCTTTGGTGAAATGCGTAGAAGGCTGGACCCACAGCACATTTATATATGATCCAAGGATGTTAATCGCAATAACAATACATGATCGGCTTATGTCAATGAAGAGATTGATCATTGAAAGTTTTGTTGAATTGTTTACATGCAGAATGTGATTGTGTGGTACAGGGAGGCTTAGTGCCCAGTTATTAAGCAAAATACTATGTTCAGGGAGTCGTGCTGTATTTACATCTCGGCAGTGGTTTTGCTTATATGTTTTATTATAAATGTCATTAACTAATAACTTTTAATAAAGATGTGATTTGTTTGTTACAATGTAATTGTGTCCTTTTCACTCCTGCGACATCTTAAAAGCCCTGTTTTGAGTATTTTGTTGTTGTATCTCTAAATTTAGGGGTGTGGTGTCTTGTTCTCATTTGGTGGCTCGGAATACATGTTTTTGGAAACTTCCAGGGAAAAAAAAGGTGAATGTGCTTCTGAGGATTATAGCGATTTTTTATTTATGATGGAATTTTAATGCATTAATTTAAAGAGTAAGTGTTGTGCTTCAGTTTAAGTGTTCATGGTAATTTAATACATTTAAGTTTTATGGTTAAGGTGAGTATTGGGGTTACTTGTTTACTTGTTAGGGTCTGATCAGTACTAGATAAGGGTCAGGGACAAACATACCACTATTCTGCTGTTACAGATGGAAATGGGAGGTACAAAGTGTAACACACATGGAATATATTAGTGAAGCTTTCCTAAAACATTTACATAAAACCTTTAGTATGCAGATTTTCACATTTTGAAGAATGCACCAACCTTGGCAAAAATACGTACTAGACATTCATGTTGTTTATTGTATTTAATTTCACACCATTCAACAGCAAACACCTAATGTTAAGACTCTGCACTATAATTCTGCCAAGAGAAAACATTAAGACAGTCAGCAATAACAAAAGTAAATAGTGCAAGATAAAAAGGATAGGTTTAATCTTGCAGATATAAAGATTATAATTTATACCGTGGAACATATTTTTGCATCTTCATACAAGAACACTTCAACAGATGGTTGTTGGCACAGGCAGCCTGTTATTTGCAAGTGATACCACAGACTATGCATTATGTGATTTAAGCAGTATGCATATGGCATATATTTGTATATATTGCAAGGGAGACAGGCTCAACTGGTAATGGCAGCAATAACCATGCACAACCATGGACACCCTGGAATCAGTTCAATGCAGGTGGGTTTTGTACAGCAATTCTGTAGAATAAAAAAGGAAACATCTGCACATCCAATTACTTCAATGCATCAATGACTCATTAGTCCTCAGTTATCACACCCCTGTATATTACTGGTAAGTGCAAAAATGTAATGGGCTTTTAAGGTACCAATTAACACAATTGTAGTCCAAACTCCTTTAAAATAAATAGTTTATTTTAGTTCAGTGGTTCTCAACCTGTGTAACCTCGGGACCCACATGTTTCCTTGGTCATTAAGGCGTGACCCAAAAATGATTTCATTTCTGAAACATTTTAATTTATTACACAAAACAACTTGTGCAGTATTCAGCAATATATATTTTGCTGAAAGTTGATATTAATGCGCCGGCCCGAAAGTGAGGAAATAGTCCCCTCTCTCCCCGGGCCATACCACTTTATCGGAGAGCCCGGGGGAGGCCGGGAGAGAGGGGACAGTTTGACATTATGAGGTTCCACAGGCTGAACCACAAATTCCCACTCTAGTTCTCTCTAATGCAGATAGGCCGGTCTATGCAGACATGACGCCGCGACCCACTGCAGAGGGTGTCGCGACCCACTTTTGGGTCGCGACCCACGAGTTGAGAACCACTGTTTTAGTTTAACATAGTTTATTTAATCCCAAGTTAAAATCATTTAAAAATATTAATTATAGATTTTCCTGGAAAGCTATAATTAACATTTTAAAGTTATTTTAACTTGGGATTAAATAAACTGATGATGATTCTATTTTAAAAGAGTTTGGACTACAATTGTGTTCATTGGTCCCGTAAAAGTCCATTACATGTTTGCACTTATCTGCACTTTCAAGCCACTATTTAAATGTGTGTCAGTTCCTGATTAACAGGGTGCCTCCTTTTTGTTCCACAAAACAAACAGCACATGTGCTTTTTAGCATTCCGTCAGTAGTCAGCCATTCACCCAGCAGCAGGATCTCGCATAGCAGAGACATTGATAGAGAGAGAGAGAGAGAGCCACTGAGCCTCAGTCAGCACACATACTATATATGTGCACAGGCCTGTGCACAGCTGAGACATGGACCTAGGACTGGAGGCTTCATCTCACCCAAAAGCCTCCAGGGTCCAGGATAAAGGTTTGCGCAACACAGCAATTTAAAATATTTGATGAATGCTTTTACATGCATCAGACCAAAAGTAACAACAAAATGTACTGTAACAATACTTGGCAACATAGAAGAAACTTCCTTCCTGTAGCAATTGCCACGGAGTGCTTCATTCGCTATATTATATTTTAACCAGTAAAAAAACTCTCTGTTTGGAAGCAATTATCTGATATTGCATTTTTCTCCAATATCTGGGGAAAACATTGCCTGTTTTTGGGGACATTCTTATACCCATGCCATTGACTTCCTGTGTGCTATGTTTGGGAGTTCCTGCTTATATCATTAGCCCCAGTATTGTAGTAAGAGAATAACTGCTGGGAAAAGCAGTGAGCCAATCACACGAGGAGGAAATTTCACTGTTTCCATGATTACAAGATTGCAACATTTGAATTTCATGTTAGTTATTAAAAATTATATAGCTGCTGATTTACATAGAAAGATAACTTTTAAAGCAGCACTGAAACCTCAGTATATAAACTATGCTCATATTTGACCCTAAATCCATAATTAAATTCACCATTTAATAACTTAAACTCTTTAGTTCATTGCATCAAAACATGGACGGGCATGTGCAGCCACAGGAAATTCTATTGTACTGTGCTGGGGAGATTTGTAGGGCAGGCCAAGTGATGTTGTGATGAGCAGTGCAAAGGCTGGCCAATGATGTGACATGCTTGAAGTTAGACTTGTCCACTTGTAGTTCCCTGTGGGAGCTTGCATAGAAAGGTGACAACTCTATGGTTCATATAGTACATGTAAAGGCAGCATTGTCAACCTTTTATTGTAAAATGTTTAAGAAGAACTCCAGCAGAATAAACCCTAACCCTTAAGTGCTCTTTTTTGTCTAGGGCACGGGTGAGAAAACCCGACCCCCCCAGCGGTGTTTTAACTTCCTATCCCAGCATCCCTCTGCCTTTGAGAGTCATGCCTGTAACTGGCAGTCTTGCAATGTCTCATGGGACTTGTAGTTCCACAACAGCTGGAGGGCCGGAGTTGCCCACTTCTGGTCTAGGGTCTATAATAACAAAGATATACTCACCTGAACCTCTCTCCCACCTGGCTGCTAGACCGGTCCTTACAGCCTCTCCCCCCTACATTCCATGTGATGGAGTGTCCCCAAGTATCCTCACGTCTAATGGCCTGTATTATACGTGATGACTCACGTATCCTTAGACTGCTGGGCTGTATTGGGAGAGAGGCTGCGGGCACTGGTAAGTATATCTTTGTTATTTTAGACCCTGCACTTAACCCTTGCAGGCCGGGGGTAGCCCCACTGCAAGGGTAAAGTTTTATTCTGCCCGGGGTTCTTCTTTAAGCAGAAGGAGAGTGGCAAGAATGGATATATTTTCAATATTTCTTTAGGCTGAAGGTGTAGATACACTTTAATAACATTCATTTTTTAATTTGATCATGTAAAAATGATACGTATTTT